CCAGCCGCTTGAGCCACAGGCGCCGAGCCTCTTTTTTTGTTTTTAGAGACAGAGTCTCACTTTATTGCCCTCAGTAGAGTGCTGTGGCGTCACACAGCTCACAGCAACCTCCAACTCCTGGGCTTAGGCAATTCTCTTGCCTCAGCCTCCCAAATAGCTGGGACTATAGGTGCCTGCCACAACACCCAGCTATTTTTTTGCAGTTCGGCCGGGGTCGGATTTGAACTCGCCACCCTCGGTATATGGGGCCGGCATCCTACTCACTGAGCCACAGGCGCCGCCCTTCCCTGATATTACGATTGATTTTCAGAATCTTGAATTTTTTCTCTATTACTTTTCTGATTGTACATGTAAGTTTCAAAGATAATACATAGTGGATTCAAAGACATCATCTAAAACAAACTGTTAAAAGTGGAAAAGGGGGGTAGTGCAAGTGGCTCAGTGAGTAGGGTGCCGGCCCCATGCACAGAGGGTGGCGGGTTCAAACCCGGCCCTGACCAAACTGCAAGAGAAAATATAGCCAGGCATTGTGGTAGGCGCCTGTAGTCTCAGCTACTCAGCAGGCTGAGGCAAGACAATCGCCTAAGCCCAGGAGCTGGAGGTTGCTGTCAGCTGTGGCACCACAGCATTCTACAGAGGGTGACAAAGTGAGACTCTATCTCTAAAAAAAAAAAGAAAAAAAAAGTGGAAAAGGGGCTTGGCACCTGTAGATCAGCAGCTAGGGAGCCAGCCACGTACACCAGAGTTTGAACCCAGCCCAGGCCTGCCAAACAACAATGACAACTAAAACCAAAAAATAGCCTGTTGTAGTGGGCGCCTGTAGTCCCAGCTACTTGGGAGGCTAAGGCAAGAGAATCACTTAAGCCCAAGAGCTTGAAGTTGCTGTGAGCTGTGACGCCACAGCACTCTACCAAGGGCAATAAAGTGAGACTCTATCTCTACAAAAAAAAAAAAAAATGTGGAAAAGGGAGGGGAAGGACTGAGTCAGGGACACTGGGACCTTCAATGTTTTGCATTTTGGTTTTGTTACTTACATACTCCTTATGAATGCTATGGACAGCCAGAGACAGTAAATAAAGAGAAACAATCACTCATCATCCCACCACCCAGAGGGAAACTGCTTACTATGTTGGCACATTTCCTTCCAGGCAGTTTTCTATAGAATTATATTATAGACACAACTCTGTCTACAGAATTATTTATCTTGCTTCATTCAGGAAATACTAAATCCCACAAATCTATATTTCAGATCTATATTCCAATGGCTGCGAAATCTATCTTTCAACGACAAAATTTATTTAACCAATTTCTTTCTGCTGAACACTTACATTCATTATAAATTTTTCCTATTACAAATACTGCTGTGTTAAATCTGTTTGCACGTAAAGTTGGGCTGCAGCAGGCCAAGTTATATAGGGCAGATTCCCAGAAGTAGAACTTTTCTAGAGCTCTGGATTTTGGCAGGTCAGAACGTTTTCCATCAGAGCTGGCAGTGGCCACTCTGGGAGGGCTGAGGGCCCTATGGTGCCAGGAGCCTGCAGGTGGCTCACTGCCCAGTGCTCCCATGGGACATCACCTTCAGTCCCCAGCCAGCTCGGAGTGGGGGAGTGGTTTCCTCATTTTAACCACAAGGAAATGAATTCCTCCCAGGGGCATGGTAAATAAAGCCCGAATAAGATAACGAGTACCACAGAAACTAATGGACAGAAAGTATACATTTTAAAGGTTGTATTTTTCTGATTATGATCACTTACTGCAGAAGGTTTTAGAAAATGCGGAAAGTAAAAAGAACTTAAAAGTACACTGGTTTTAAAAGAATGTTTAAAGATACGGGAACCTGACCACTCATGTGCTTTGCGTACTTTTCTGCGTCTATGTTTTACATCAATGAAAGATTAAGGGGAAAAAAAAGGAAGCAAATCAAAATCCCTGATAACTCTCATCTCCAACTTAGTCCTCTTAACAATGGCAACCTTCCAAAGGGCAATTTTACACTTTACAAAGCAATTTATCCAGCCCTTATCTTAATAAACTCACAGTAAGTTCTCAAAGAGATTTTCATTTTCATCTCATTTTTCAGGTGAGGAACTAAGGGTCCCAGGACTCACAGAGCTAATAAGTAGGAGAGCTGGCTGCCCTCACTCAGCAAAAAGAATATTAGGCCTCCAGGAGCATGACTTTTAACCCTTTGTTTGGTGGTGGTTATAATACCCAGCTCCTGGCATTCACACTATTGTGTATTGGGCTTCCTTTGAGCTTGGCTGGACCCAGTGCCTTGCTTCTAACTAAAAGAATATTATTAACAGAATATAGCTGGCTATGCGCCTATAGCTCAAACGGCTAAAGCGCCAGCCACATACACCAGAACTGGCAGGTTTGAATCCAGCCCGGGCCTGCCAAATAACAATGACAACTACAACTAAAAAATAGCCGGGCGTTGTGGCAGGCACTTGTGGTCCCAGCTACTTGGGAGGCGGAGGCAGGAGAATCGCTTAAGCCCAGGAGTTGGAGGTTGCTGTGAGCTGTGATGCCACAGCACTCTACCCAGGGAGACAGCTTGAGGCTCTGTCTCAAAAAATAAATAAATAAACAAAACAAAACAATAAAAAGAAATAGCTAGTGTATGCACCTCTGGGGGCCCAGGGAGGACATCGCCTAGCTGACCCCAAAGGGTCTCCTTCAGGTAAACACAAGCTCATAGGGCTTTATTCAAAAGTGCAGGACTGAGGGCTCCATGGAGAAAAGTACAAAATCAAAAAGGTCTTCAAGAGACTAAGTCTAGGTAGGGTGATAAACCTGAGCAGAGGAAATAACTAGAAAACAATCACACCCCAGGAGAAAGCCTCTGGGACAGAAAGGAGTCCTCTTGAATGTCATTTGGGGATAGGACAGGGCTCAAATCTTAAAGTTCTCCCGCTTCCTTAGTCTGTGAACTTGGGCTAAATTACTTAATCTCTGTGAGTTCAGTTTCCTCTTCTGTAAAATGAGAATAAGTGTCCTGAGGATTAGGGAGATAAAGCCTGGCACTTCGTTAATATTTAATGCCTGCATTATTATTATTATCAGGAGTCCAGTGCCCCACCCTTGTCAACTGTGGAGGCGGCTCACCTCCACCTGGCAGCTGTGTCCAAGCTCTCGGGCCTGGGGAAATGTTCTCCCTACAACTCCCCAGGGCCCCATTATGACTGAGACATTTCTGCCTTCCCGGGCCCCTTCCTACCCGCATACATATAATATATATATATATATATATAAATCTGTAATAGACATACATAACAGAATTCTATTTTACAACGCTATTAAATGGATATATCAATATTGTATATTAAAACATTCTTTTCAACCTAAAAGTTCATTTTGTAATTCTGACTTTGCAAGAAATTAAAATGTTTTGCATCATGGGCCTGAGGCATTGCGCCTGCTGAACCTAACCCAGATGTTGGCTTCCAGCACCTATGTCCCACCAGGCTCCTGCTGTTGGGGGACTTTGGTCCTAAGGTCCCTGAGGTCCCTATCTCCTTTCCTGTCCTTCTCCTCCCAAAGAACAAACAGATCAACACCTCAGTGACATCCCTCCCTTTTTCCTCCCTCCCTCCCTCCCCTCCCTAGTAGCCTCTGCCTTCAGAGGGACAGAGGGAGGGAGTGCCGGTGGGCTGTGAGAAGCATGGAGCTTCTAGGATCACATGCGTAACTGTCATCCCCAGCTCTGTCACCTACAAGTTGGGTGGCCATAGCAGATCAATTCAAGCCTTAGTTTCTCCATCTGTGAAAGGGAGTAACAGCACTTTTTCCCAGGTCAATTGTGAGCTTTTTTTTTTTTTTGTCCTGAGCCAGAGTCTCATTCTCTGCAGCCATGAGGGGTTGAGTGCTGTAGTGTCATAGCTCACAGTAACCTCAAACTCCTGGGCTCAAGTGATCCTCTTACCTCAGTCACCCAAGTAACTGGGACTACAGGCATGTGCCATAATGCCAGTCTAATTTTTCTTTTTTTTTTAGAGACAGAGTCTCACTTTATCGCCCTCGGTAGAGTGCTATGGTGTCACAGCTCACAGCAACCTCTAGCTCTTGGGCTTAGGTGAGTCTCTTGCCTCAGCTCCCAAGTAGCTGGGACTACAGGTGCCCCCACACACACACAACACCCGGCTATTTTTTGTTTCAGTTTGGCCGGGGCCGCGTTTGAACCCACCACCCTCAGTATATGGGGCTGGTGCCCTACCCACTGAGCCACAGGCGCCACCCTAATTTTTCTATTTTTAGTAGAGACAGGATCTCGCTCTTGCTCAGGCTGGTCTTGAACTCTAGAGCTCAAGCAACCCAGCAGCCTCAGCCTCCCAGAGTGCTAGGATTACAGGTGTCATCCACTGTGCCTGGCCAGAGAATTCTTTTTTTTTTTTTTTT